TCCATTCATTGACTGAAGGACATATAGATTGGTTCCACAGTTCAGCTATTGTGAATTGTGCTGCTATGTCCCTGTAGTATGCTGTTTTTATGTCCTTTGAGTATAGAGCGAGGAGAGGGACAGCTGGGTCAAATGGTGGTCCTGTTCCCAAATTTTCCAGGGAATCTCCATATTGCTTTCCATATTGGCTGCACCAATTTGTAGTCCCACCAGCAATATATAAGTGTGCCTTTTTCCCTACATCCTTGCCAACACTGGTCCATGGCCTAGGATTTCAACATAAGAATTTTGGAGAAACACGACATTTTGTCCAAAGCAAAGGAAGTATTTAGGAACTTTGACTTTCAGCTCAACTTTCCTATAAATCTCAATCTGCTCTAAAATTGAGTTTATTAATTTATTTAAAAACACAACAAATGTCAAAGAATTAGTTCACTATGTGAATTTCAAAGTACTATATTTTGTAACACCATAGCATGAAAGTAGATGGGTATATGAAAAGCCATATATATTTTTTATTTTAGTAACTGTTAATATTTTTATATTCTAGTGTATCTCTTGAAATTTCCAGTTTTCATTATCTCATATGTTTAATTTGAATACTTAAATCATAAGTAGAATGATTCCCAAGTTCTCACACAAAGGTGTTGTGGAAGATTTCAGATTATGAAATGAAATTTGAAGGACACTGAAGAGTATGTATTGTGAACAAGGTTTCTGTAAAATAGAATATATTTATCTAAAATAAATACATGATTAGAGAAAATTACAAAAATAAATTGGAATATGTATACAGATACATGATTATAGATGATTCAATTTAGGAAATTCATTCCAAATCTTATATAAAAATAAAATGCTTACGAAATATCAGATTGAAACATATATAATTTTATTTTTGTCCAGGAAAACTATTGAATATTGACAGTTTCATTTTACTTGACACATATGTAAGACAGAAATTGGAAAATTACAGATAATTAACTGGGAAAGGTAAAGGACAATAAAGTTTTTATGTAAAGATCTGAGAAATTTCCTGATAAGATATGTTCAGCACAGAATTTGGCAAATTAATTTATTCATTCAACAAGTAGTTATTGAGTTCCTAGTATGTGCTTCAGAGGGACAGGATGAAGTTAGGAGAACGTTGGTATCAGCTGGTCATGCAGATATGCTCACTGTTGACTTCCAGGGATCATTTGTAGTGCTCTTCTCCATAGAAACCACCTCCTCCCAGAGGCATAGTGTGGCACTGCAGCCCTAACTTTTTCATGTGATCCTCTGGGTTCATATTTCCAGCTACTCTGCAGAATTTTTTACAGAATTTGCCTGTAATCTCAGGCAAATTATTCACCTCTAATAGCTTCAGCTATGATGTCAATAATACCTAACCCATTGGACATGAATGTGAAGTGAAAGATCTTATGTAAAAGCATCTGCTGAACTAAAATAATGCTTTGTCATTACATGTGGAAGCAGGAAACACTAAGATCTAGACCTGTCTTTATTTTCTTGCTTCAAACATCACACTTTCACATCTTGGTAGACCATGACTACATGAAGAAAATTTCATGACTAAAAAAATTTTCTTTGAAAAATAAAATCTTTTGTCATGGATTTAGAAGTCTGTCCTTGGGATGAACTTGTGTATCTCATCTCCCAGATATTGAAATACAAGTTAAAATCATGTGTATCTAATTCTTGATCAAATAAGAGTGTTAATTTATATAATACCACATTGCTAATCTTTTTCAAAAGAGCTAGGGAGAGATGAACTAAAATGTAGCCAACTGAAGTATTCTCCAGAATTCTGATTAGAATTCTGAATATTAATGTATAAAAATGACCAAAATATTTAAGGATGTGTGAAGGTCCACTTCTTGCTGCCAAGCAACCTAGCCTCAAAGCAATTATGAAGTTTGATTGGAATTTAGTCAAAGGAAATGGTGTTTACATGATTTCAGGGGAGGCCCCTCAACTAAAATAATTTGTAGAACACTACCAATATAAGGAGGAACTTGTCAGAAGAACAAGAATATTAAGTTCTTTGGATGAGACTTAGTATCTGATGGTGATTGCAAGATATGCATTTAACATTTCTATATATGTTACTTATTTTGAATTCTTATGCCATTGTATATATCACAGTTTTAAAAACTTTCCTAAAGCATGTAATACTTGAGTGAAGCTCCTCAAAGAATATTTGCAAAGTGTTGTATATTAATATATAGTTGATGCATTCAGAATCTACTAACTCTCCCCACTTTGTTTTGTGCAACTTAACTTACAATTATGTGAGGAATAGCTCACCATAGTCTCCAGGTAGAGGCAACACTTTTCTGATGTAATTCAAGCAAATTTTATCAAATCCTTTTTAACTGAGTTGTCTTTTCAGAGATAGAAAAAGAAATAGGTTGAAAAAGTTTTTGTTGTTGTTTAAATAAGACAAAATTATGTAATAGATAAGAAGAAGGCTTCAATATTTTAAGACAATATTGAATTGAATTGTATTAAATTAATTGGAAATATTATAGCTAAACAATTTTTATATAAATATTTAGGAAGACATATTTAAAAAGGTTAAAAAATTATGTGTATCAGATCCTTTACCAAAGAGAGTAGGGAATGATCAAATGTATTGTTAGGACAAAGAAAAGTTAAGGATGGTTCCCAGACCAAATCATAGTTAATTACAAAGTTAACAGAGAGAGTCACAAGAAATATTAAAGTCTGTTTCCATATTTTCAGGAGAATTCAAAATTAGAATTGCATAAAACCTCAATGTGCTATATTTATCCTCTTGATATTTATAAGCAAAGTATTTGAAAATATTTAGACAACTTGAGAATTTCATCTTTGTATTTATAAATTTTGTAATTTGGAGGTTGGAATAGATAGGAGAATATTATAAAACAGCTTTTCTAAAATACCACTGATTGTCAAAAATGAAATTTAAATGAATGTAAAATCATGATTTCTGGGGAGGTACTTATATATTAAATACTAAAACATTTGTGCAATTAATTACAATTAAATAACTTTAAGACGAACACAATTATCACTTAAGGAATAACACAGAGATATTATGAAACTTTTAAAGTCTGGCAACAGCATTAAAATTATGAAAAACATGTTTCTAAAAATCAATATATGAATGATACAACAATATTGGTGAGTTATATGAGACAAAATATGAAAAATGCTAGTAGAAAGGTATAACTGAAGATATCAGTCTTTTTAAATACACTTTTCATGTATTATCAAGGAGACAATTTTGAACTTTGTGGTTTATTTTATTTTTGCATAACTAATTTATTCACTAAGTCAAATTAATATGTGTGAAGAAATCAGTAAAATTTATTTGGGTGAAATATCTTGAAAAATCATGTTATTGGTTATACTGACAGCTTCCATTTATAAATGTCTATGCCTGCTTTACTTTTACAACACCTGCATGTAATCTGCACTTCACCTGTTTTTTTTAACTGCTTGTGAGACATTCCCTTTTTGGGTGTTTTGTTGACACATGAAACTGTACATTCCAAACAAAGACAATATCTACCTCCAAATATTTCTTTTTGATACACATTATGCCTCAGTTAATGGCAGGTATTCTACCATAAATCAAAGATGAACTCCAGAAACTATTCTCAAATTTAGAAAAATATATAATTTACCATGTACGTCCTGTTATATAGTTAGAGTGACATTTTCATATCCAGGGAAATTCTAATCAACTTACAAAACTAAACTCAAATGGAATCTTAGTGAAAACCTTGCATATTTTTAAAGTAAAATTAATAAATCCTTTTTCTATTATCTATATGTCACTAATGGAGAATTGCATGGCCCAATATTTTTTTGTAATTCTTTTGTCATATACTATTTATATATACAGACCACTCCAAAACTTACTGGTGGGAAACAACAGCTGATTTCACTTTGTTCTTGATTTAGTGTGTTAAGAATTTAGGAAGCATAAATTAGGCAGTTTTTCACTTGTGTATCTTGAATGATTGCAGTCAGATGTCAGGTTGGTCTACAGTCATGTGAAACCACCAACTGCTGAGCCTCTAGGGCAGCTTACTCAGATGGCTGGCCTTCTATGCTAGCTGTTGACTGAGAGCTCAGAGCTGGTAACTCGATTGCCTATATATAGACTCTCCCAACATGGTGGTGTAGGTTGAATTTTTAAATGGAGCTGGATTTCCCAGAGCTGGTACCACTGCATAAGCAAATGGAGACAGCATGCATGGCCTTTTCTGATTTAGCATTAGAAGTAATGTAGCATTGATTTCACTGCCTTTTGTGGGAACAAATAACTTACATAGTAGTAAGCCAAATTGATAGACCTACCCAGCCCAGGCCTTTCTTCTCTCTGCTCTTCTAAAATGAGTCTTTCTTTCCATTCTTATTGGTGTAATTCCCCAATTCATCTCTGTTGGCTTAATACCTTTCTGTCTTTCAAGGTCTGCTTCAGCATAACAAGATTGAAACCATTCCTGATCCTATCTTTTAATTCCTGGAGGCAATACCACTGTGGTTGAGCTCAGAGAAATTAGTTCAAATGTCAGGTCTCTTAGTTATGTCTTTGGGAAGTTTATTTAATCCCCTTATTTGAAAAGCAGGAGTAATAACAGAACCTATATATTTTATAAAGTTCTTAGAAACACTGAGGACAAGACAGTAGTGGACACTGCTTGATACATAGTAAGCAGACTACATTGGCCATTATCAAACACAGCCCATAGCATGTTAATTTTACCTATTCTGTTAATGTCATAGTCTTCCCCTGTGATAATAATTCATCGACTGATTCTCTGCCTTCTGCATTGTTTGCTTAATACCTTATCTTCAACATCTTAGGAAATATCTGTATCTTGAATATCAACTCAAAGGCTTGTTCTTTAAGCCTTGGTAATAAGAGTACATGAAGAAACTTGCAAATTTTTTTCTCCATTATTTCTTATAACCTTTCCTTGTCATGGTCTTTCTTTCAGAAATTAGAAAAGAAAAATCTGGGAAGACTTCATCTGTTCTGAAGGATAAAGGTAATAGAGTAAATTTAACATAATATTGGAAATGGATGAAAATATACAAATGGGTAGATATTACATTAGTGGCATATTATTTGCTGATGTGTGGCTCAGAATTGCACAGGTCACAGTCATAGATTTTTTTGAAACTAACATTAATTTATTTGTTCCCCCAAATTCTGTTTACTATGCCTGAAAAGTGCTCTGATTAGGGCTGGGTTTGTGGCTTAACAATAGAGCATTCAACTAGCATGTGTAAGGTGCTGGATTCAATCCTCAGCACCACATAAAAATAGATAAATAAAAGTATTGTGTCCAACTACCACTAAAAAAATTATAAAGTGCTCTGATTAAAGCTAAAAGGGAAGAATTTTTCTTAAATAATAAAATGTTTATTGTTCAACATCTCTAGCAATTAAATGAATGAAAATTAAAACTACACTGAGATTTCATCTCACTCTAGTCAGAATGGCAATTATAAAGAATACAAGTAACAACAAATGTTGGCAAGGATGTGAGGGAAAAGGTATACTCATACATTGCTGATAGAACTATAAATTGGTGCAACTACTGTGGAAAGCAGTATGGAGATTCTTCAGAAAACTTGGAATGGAACCATCATTTGATCCAGTTATCCTACTCTTCAGTATATACCAAAAGAACTTAAAATCAGCATGGTATAGTGACAGAGCAACATCAATATTTATAGCCCCTCAATTCACAAGAGTTAAGCTATGGAACAAACATATATAAGCTTCAACAGATGAATGGATAAAAAAGTGGTATATATAAACAATGTGATATATATAAACATGGTATATATAAACAATTACTATATAAATTATATATATATATATAAAATATATGGTATATATAAAAATGTGGTATATATAAACAATTACTCAGCCATAAAAAAGAATGAAATTATGGCATTAACTGGTAAGTAGATGGACTGGAGACTATCATGCTAAGTGAAACAAGCCAATCCCCCCCAAAAAACCAAAGGCAGGATATTCTTTCTGATATGTGAATGCTAACATACAATAAAGAGCTGGGGGAAGGGGAGAATAGAAGTTCATCGGATTAGACAAAGGGTAATGAAGGGAAAGGAAAAGAGATGAGAATAGGAAAAACAGGAGAATTGGACACAATGTTCCTATGTTCATATATGAGTACATGACCAGCGTAACTCCATATCATGTGCAACCACAAGAATTGGAAGTTATATTCCATTATGTATAACATGACAAAATATACTCTACTGTCTTGTATAACTAAAAAGAACATATAAAATTTTTTAAAAACATACCAAAAAAGATTTATATGTGTATATATATACATAATAAAAATAAACATATACACATACCTTAGGAAGTAAAGGATATTAGAAACGAATTGCCTGTATGCCCTCCAGTTCTATCTTCTCTGTCCACTCATAAAACATCTATTTTGTGCATAATACCTTCCAAGTACTTGCTAATCATTGAAGAAACAAAGATGGCAAAGCTAGCAAAAGGGAGAAAGAGTGGGTCATTGCAGTTCTGAATCCCATTATTTTCAGATGTTCTTAGGCTTGTTCTGTCTGCTTTGTTCTTGTCAGGCTCCTAATTGCTATGAAAAAGCACGAAATTCTTACATGAATCTTGTTAACTTTAATCTCCTAATGAACCAGATGCCTTTATTTCCTGCCCATCCATATTCCAATCTTATTAATAATGTTCACGTAAAACATCAGGGTTTCTCTATTACAGCTTCCCTTGAAGCCCTTACTACTGAACTAATAAGTGTAAAATATTTATAATTTATTCTATAAAATACATATTTATTAACTAACTGAAATGCCACCTATTTGAGCATGAAGATTTGGTGTACTCATCTTCTTTTTTATGTGGACTGATGAATGCCACATTTAATAATTGTTTACTCTGCCTCTAATATGTAGTAATCAATTCAGACATGAACCAGACACCAGAATACAATAAAGGCATAGGAAGAATTTGCAGTACTGATAAAATAATTACTTAAAATATAAGAATCATAGCATGGAAATACTGGGTGCTATGAGAAGGTGAAATATCAGATCCCAAACTAGTCTGAAGGATCAGGGAAGAGCTTCCTGAAGAAGTTCTGTGAATTCAGGTGAGGAGGCTTAAGAGCTCAGCAGGCAAAGTTCAGAGCTTTATTGGGAAGCACTGGGCCTCTGCTCGGTGGCAGGTACATTGTTGTATACATCTTGTATTTTATTTTAGCAAAAATGTGCTTACTACCTCATTTTTTTAGAATAATCTGAAGTATACATAATGTGAGTTATCCAGTATCACACGGAGGAAGAGGCAAAGTCACAGTCAAAGTCCAGATTGTCCTGTTTGAAAGTCTATCTCTTCATTTGAACACTGGTATTCTTCCTTCTTAGAATAGAGTTCTCATATTTATATGTTTCAAAGTACCTTTGCTTTGAATGTAGACCTTATTATATAAACTTAAAAATATATATGACATGGGAACATTGGTTTTGCAGTATTGGAAAAAAAGGTTTTTGTCTTTGGACTATGGGATTGATTCTATTTCATTACCACAGAAAAGTTATTTTTTTCTCTACTGACTATCTACAGTTTGGGAAAGACCCCTTTCTATCTCCCACTCTCCTTTTATCTGAAAAGTAATAAAAACAGTGCCCTTGGTTGTGTGTGAGCTAAAGATATTATTGAAATATTCTACCAGCAATCCACGTTTGTGTGTGTGTGTGTGTGTGTGTGTGTGCGCACACACACGCGCATATGTCTTTCTATATGAAACGAAAAATTTCAGTTTACAAAATTTGAACCTTTCCTCCTCTATTGTACTATGTAGTATTTCATTGTGGTCTGCAGCTGAGGGGCAGCTGAGTGGACCATACCATACTGTTGACTATAAAACCAGATAGAAAGAAAGGCTGAAGCTGACCTCCAAAGCTACTCTCAGTAAATAATAATTTCCAAACATTTAAACTACCCTTTAAACACTTCACTTGCACCACACGCAAAATTGTTGGAAAGGTTAGTCATAAAAATTTATCCTGGAAAACAATCTGGGGCAGTTAAACCTATATTGACTACTTCACTAAGTAGGCTTCTATATTTTTTATTATTGTTGTTACTGTTATTAATGTACAGTTACAGACAATTTCCTAGTGAACAATTTTTCTTCAAATTAAAGTTGTATACTCTTTGTAAAATGTCTTAAAATCATTAAAAATTGTACACAGGGGGCTGGGGATGTGGCTGAAGTGGTGGTGTGCTCGCCTAGCATGCTTGAGGCACTGGGTTTGATTCTCAGCATCACATAGAAACAAAATATATTGTGTTCACCTAAAACTACAAAAATAAATTTAAAAAATTTGTACACAAAAATGAATCATGTATATAAATATGATTATTGATTTTAATTGATGTAAAATATACCTCTTTTTCCCAAGCTTCATTCATTTACTAAAAATACTTATAATAGATGAGTTGAATATTGTTTTAGAGAATAATTTTATTGCTATCTTTTATCCTGAATTAAAGTTATCATTATGGAACATCAAAGAAGAAATCTGTGATGCGACCTGTAAGATTTAGAGACCTTAGAAGCCTTGGTGGCTTTACTGTTTCTGAAGAGTCCCTTTGAAGCCTGCTGCTGAGCTGTGGCAGGATCAAAATGCACCAATTTCACTTGCAAAAAATCTACTTATTTCATTGCAGTAATTATGTTTTGTGAATTATTTCTATTAAGCAGAGAAGAGGTGTCTTTCATTTACTAGTCTCTTGTAGAGCTTCCTGCATGCACACATCTAAATTCATGCTGAAATAATGGTAAAATTCTAAACCCAGCACTATTACAGAAAAATCACCTGGGACCACATTTATTGGGAATGACATGTCCGTGAGTACATTAGGCTTTTAGAGACCATCAGAAAAATTGGGTTTTATTTAAAGAGTTACAGAGAAGTCTGAGGAGGATTGCTCCAAAGAAACAGATCAGAACAAAGACTAGTGTTGCTGATTTGCTGCTGACTCAGCTTTTGACTTGCCTTGACTATTGGACTCACCTGACCCTCTCAGCAGCTCCATACTGCTGCAGGGGTAGAGCCCTGCTTATGTGGCTTACACCACCTGGAAATCAGATAATTCTGTTAGTGCCTCTTATTGGTCATATTCTTTGGAGTATCCATTCCTTTCCAATTCCCACTTACTTTTACCACCTGGTCTGATTGAGCTGATGATGGAAGATCCATCTAGACAACAAGGAATGGCAAACTAAGTCCAAACAAGGTAACAAAGAGATTAATGAATTTGTTCTTCTCAGATAATGTAATAAGACTGCTTTTAGGTTCTGCTGTTTTATTAACAGTGTGCTGGGAACTCTGAATGGTGAACTATCTTTATGAACCTGACCTGTATCCATATGCATCTAAAACCACAGGATTTCAGTGGAGCCTATCTTTCTTTGTATGGTGGTGCTCAGGATCAGGAAAGTGATTATCTCCTGAGGGCTATTTAATCATCAGTAAGACTTTTCTTGGCTATTCCCTTTCATCAAACCAATGTTACACCTAAAATTAGGATAGGTTGTCTGAGGATTTCAAAAGTGAGCACCCAAAATGCTACACTTCATCATGGACATTCACCCAATTCACTGCTCCCTTCACCTCTGAAAGTAGCAGCAGCAATGGCAAATTTGACACTTTTTTCTATTCCTTTGTTATTCTTTTCTCCATCACAGCCTCCTTGCTCAGATAATTTTGACAGAGTTCTTGCTTATAGCACAGCATCATTAAGCACTTTCTTTTTTTACAAAATATCATCAAGACTCATAAATTATCCTGTGGGCTCTTGGGCAAATGCAAAGAAACTATCATATATGTAAAAAACACACACACACACACACACACACACACTCTTGTTTCCTGATAAATAAGACAAATGAGTTGAAAAACAGTTTAAGAGCTGACCAAACCAATTCATCTCTTTTTCTTAATACAGAAGTTAAGTTTCTAGATAATACTCTCACTCTTAGGGTAGTTAGAGACTGCTCAGGCAAGCCTGAAAACTCCTAAATCAAGTCAAAATGCACTGAGATCAAAAGAAGAAAACTGAAAATAAATTATCTGCAGAAATGACCCAGCCTGGAATCATCTTGCCATTAGCAGACATGGAAACAGAAATCCCTTATATTTTCTGGGAATTTCTCCAGAGTGTAAGATGATGAGTTTACTATCTTTGAATAGCCTATGAAAGTACCCTGTTATTCCACCCCTTCCTTTCTGTGCTAAAACCAAAGTCATCCTGGAGGCCGTCTGCTTGCATGCATTATATAAATACTTTAATACCATACAAGCATGTACATTCAACTACTTAAATCTGTTTTCTGAATCTGGAATTTTGAGACTCCAGGCCACCCCCTTGGGAATCTGTCCCTACCACCACTTCTTATTAATTATTTTGGCTTAGCTAGGATGTGCAAGCACAGTCAATTACCCCATCAGCTTGAAATGTATTAAATGAAAAGTCCCAGTGTGTTTGTTCAATTCATGGTTCTTGGTTTCCTCTTCACATGCTGAAATATAGAAACAAATGGTCCTATTTGTATCAACCCCACCAATAGCAACATGGACATTGCTTTGCCACCAGAGCCTTTTTCAAAAATTCTACATGTGTTGTCGGTATCTAAGTTGTTGCTTATTCTCCAAGCAGCTCTTGTTTTGAAGGAAACATATTTTGGTTAAAATTTGATTTTGAGTTGACACATAATAATTATATATATTTATGGTATACAATATGATTTTTTGATATATGTTTACAATGTGAAAACATAGAATTAGACTAGCAAATCCACCACCTCACTATTCTGTACAATGGATCACTAATGCTTATTTCTCCTAATTGAGGCTTCATACCTTTTGGTCAACATTCCCCTACTACCCATCCATTCCTGTCCCTCAGTATTAGATATCCATCATTTTACTCTCTATTTGAATGTGTGTGTGTGTGTGTGTGTGTGTGTGTGTGTGTATCACATTAAAGTGAGATAAGGTATCTGTCTTCCTATAGTTGGCTTTTTTTCACTTTGAATAATAACTCTAAACCCATTCTTTTTTATTTTTTACTGGTTCTTTTTAGTTAGACACGATAGTAGGATCCATTTTGATATAATTATGCAAGCATTGAATATCTTGTTCTAATTCAGACCCTAGTATGTCTCCTTCCCCTTCCCTCTACCTATCCCTTTCTCCCTTTCCTTTATTGATCTTTCTTCCATTTACTTGTAATTATTTTTTTAATTAGTAACTGGTGGATGTTCATTTCTCATGATGAGATTCACTGTGGTAACATTTATACATGTACATAGGAAAGTTATATCAGATTCATTCCACTGTCTTTCCTTTTCCCACCCCCTCCTTTCCCTTTATTCCCTTTTGTCTACTTTACTGAACTTCTACCCCTTTACCTCCCCCTCTCTGCTACCTTGTTGTGGGTTAGCATCTACCTATCAGAAAAAAAATGACTTTTTTGGGGGGATTAGCTTTTCAATTAGCATGATAGTATTCAGATCCATTCATTTATTATCAAATATACTAAAACTATCTGTTGAAAGGCATCTAGTTTGGGTCCATAGCTTAGCAATTGTGACTTGTGCTGCTATAAACTTTGACCCAGTTATCTCATTCCTTAGTATGTATCCAAAGCATTTAAACTCATTCTTAACACATCCTTAGCCACCTACACTTAGTAATTCTAAATGATTGGTAGAGTACATTTCTGTTTACAATCTTTACCATAATAATCTCTTCATTCCAAACTACAAAATGGGAAGGTAAAAAGGGATTTTTTCCCTTCCCATCTCATTGAAATTTATTTCATCTACAGAGTAGATATTGAACATTAATGTTGTAGAGGAAGCAGAAAACAGGTCTTCTCTTTTTGGTAGACTGTTGGTGAGCTATGATGATATTCAAGGAATTGTTTGAATGTATGTTGGACTTCATAATATGGTAGTGATTGCACTGTACTGAAGCTAGTAGAATAAAGTTTTATTTGACTTATTTCAACTATGGACCACAGTTTTAAGTATTTGGGAGTTTCGAGATAAAAATTGCTTTCTTAATGAAATGATCTCTCAATTTTTATTTTAGCTTCTTTTCCCTCAACCTACTATCTATCATTCATTTTATTTTAAAAAATTTAAATTTGTTCTAATTAGTTACATATGATAGAAGAATACATTTTGACACATTGTAAACAAATGGAACACAACTCCTTATTCCCCTGGTTGTACATGATGCAGAGTCACACCAGTAGTGTAACCATACATGTATATAGGGTAATAATGTTCTTCTCATTCTACCCCATGGCACCAGCTCTCCCCCAATCCCTTCTGCAGGCTTCAAAGTTCCTTCAGTCTTCTCTACTTCCTCCCCCAACAATGGATCACTATCTGCTTATCCTAGGAAACATTCAGCCTTCGGTTTTTTGGGTAGTTTCAATCTTGAACAGTTTGATTTGAGTCTGAAGATTGTAACAGTACAGTTACATAATGTATGTGGTTTTTCCATTGGATTGTTTATTTTATTGGAAAAGCATACTATGAAACAGACAAACAAACAGAGTCAGCACTGAAATAGTTTGGGAGACTTCTCGATGCTGAAATTATGTATTTTCTAAGATTATAAATAAGTTCCTGGCCATTCAAATGCTCACCATCTTAAAAGAATGAGGATATTATAGCTTATTAGACAATTTAAGTTTAAATACAGTTGATCTGAGGAGATCTACTTTATTCTGTACAATTGTTTCTTTGTCTCTAATAAAAATAATTTTGGGATAAAAGTATCATATTATTTCTACATAGATTTTGCTCTACTGATAGTTCATTGTCTCCATTATACCTGTGTTCTCACATCTTTTATTGTGACTTTAAATAATGGTTTAATGTTTCTTTTCAGAGATTATTACAGGGAAAGAAGTGAAGGTCCCATCTACCCAAAAGGAAAAAGGTAATGTGGCATAATGAGATGTAAAACCACCTTGGTCTGCCCATGGTATATTAAGCAATTGGCAACACAGTAATATATTATTTCTTTTCTCTGGTTTTCAAAACAACAGTCTTCATTTGCTGTCATGTTTTTAAAGGAAGGAAAAAGTACTTATTCCCCGTCATCAAATTCTAAATTGTACAATGAAATAGCAAAGAAAGAATAGCTGTGTCAGAAATACTGAACTTTGAAAAATTACATGCTATTTTGATTCCACAATCCCATAGTAGATGGGGAAATATACATTCTGTAAATATCAAAAGAAGAATCAATAGCCTATAGAAAGCAAATATTTAGGATAAAATGAAATACTTAACATTTCTCTATGAAAGGTTGCTATTTTCTAAGTTCAGATACAACAGAATTGCAAACAAAATATGTAGGTAGGAGATATTGGTAGATAAGATGTCTAATCCCCTTTCTCATTTTATGGATAAAGAAATCCAACTGGTCTAGAAACTTTTAAAAGTTATTATAGTAGGTAGCAGAGTCTGTCTCAGAACTAGTTTCCCATACAAGCTCTGTATCCATTCTGTTGGGGCATGCTGCACCTCTAGTCTTAACACTGTGGTAAGCTTGAAGAAAGGTGGATTCTAACATTCCCTGCATCCAGTTAGGCCTCCTGAAACATAAGTAAACATGCTAACTCCAGTGTAATACGTTTAGTTTCTAGCTAATCCAATTACATTCCAAAAGCATGGCATTTTGCTCAGAGCTGTTGATTACTTATTGGTGTCAGAATAAACATCAGAAAGTTTCCATTATGCCCATATTAGTAAATTGTTGAAACCAGAGAAACCATGAACTATACCTACCATCCTGAATATTAGAAATAGCCTGTTTCTACCTTTACCCAAGCAAAATGATCCAGAGAAGTTATTGACCAATGTAGAAGGACTTCACAGTAAAAATTTTAGGCCACTGCCACTTTTCATTTTCCCCTAAAAGAAATAAACTTCTGGTGTACTTATATAAATATATGTTAGAGCTGTGAAAATGTGGAGAGCAGCAGGAAGGGAACGCTGACAGAAGAATCAGTGGGAGAAATAAAGGATTCATGGAGAGCCCCCATTAGTTAGTGTGGCAATGTATAAACCATACCCTTAAGTCCTTTTAAATTTTGCAATTAATTTTAAATTAAATAAAATTGTTATTTAATGAAACGTAAGAACACAGCACATTTTTTTTCCTCTGTCTATGTATGTACTTGGTGTTTTCTAAAGTATTTAAAGCTGTACAGCTCCAAATGCATTTTTGCTTCCTTTTAGAAATGTATTATCATGCCTAAATTTTTTTTTGTCTTTCAACCCCTACAGTTGGAATTCTTTTGGTGTGATACATAATTTTGCTATTTAAGGAATAAGTAGGAAAAATTAAACTTTTTCCATATGTACATTATGTTTTCAGTAGACAGTTAAAAACTTGCTGTGTTTTGTAGTTCAAGGGATGAATTGTGATGTCTAAGGAAATTATACTGGATCCTAATTGCTAAATTATTTTAGCAATTTAAACAGACTTTAGAGTTTTTTTCTATGATCTTACTATCAATTGCCTTGGGCATTTATATAACAATCTAAATTGAAATGGTCTTATGTCATTAAGTGATTGAATCTCATGATGATTCTATATTTTCTTGTCAATCTAAGGCAAAAACACATCAAATGAAAAGTTAGAAATATTGTACATCTCCATATTTTTATTAAGGAAGTTTAGTTTTTGTTCACATCAGTCTTCAATCACAGGAAATGTCTGCTGAAGGATCATTTGTCTTTTCTCCTTCCTTTTCAGACATCTTCTTTCAGTAACTCCATAATAGCCAGTCTAACCCAGCCAGTTTATGATCAGAGAAAACAAACATTGAGGAGAGCCACATACACATATTGAAGAAGATGCACTTTGAAGTTTAAGGCTCCTTTGTATAAAAATCACTTAAATTCCATTCCACTTATTATTGTTATTATTATTATTTTAGAAATTGAGCCTTCAAATTACCCTGGGGATATTCATTTTATTTTCCTATTTAGAGCAACAACCGTTTTCCCCTAATATGTGCTAAAATATTAATGGGGCTTTGAAATTTCATGCATTAAATTTCTTCTTTTTATCAAACAACCAGCCAGAATTGAAACCTAAAGTGCTGAATGTGAATGACAGTATGTGGACATGTTATAAGTCAAATGTCATCATGACATGCAAAGTGACTTTCATTTCACCTGTGATAGGTTGTATCCTGTTGGACTTTCTGTCTGTGATCAATGTCATCTTGCACAAAACAGAACAGTTGCATTTCAAATTAATCTTCACTAACAGGAATCACATTTAAAAAAATATTGGGTTAAGAGTTCATTATTTCTTTTAGTAAGTGGAGTTCTTCAATAGGCTTTATGGAATTTCCATTAAAGAAGCATCAGACATAATATGAGAATATCATGCACACTCTTAAACCTGGTTATGCATTAACCAGATTTTTTGAATTAAAATAAAAAATATTGTTGAGGACACAGTAACAGAGATTCGCTCTCGGTGATTATGTGTGGAGGCATGGAATCTGGTTTTTAAAGCCTTGTTTTCCAAAAAAATGGAAGTACATATGCAGGCTAAGATTTCTTCTATGGTCATTAAAATAAAAGATAAAATGTAGATGGGTAAAAAAAGACTTTGTCATGTGCAAGCAAGAAGAAAAAAATAATTGAATGAAAAACAAATTAGAAAGGTAGTGAGCCAGTCTGAAACTTCATGGTACAACAAAATTGCTGACAGTAGTGGTGCTCCAATATAGTTAAAGCAATAATGTATATTGGAATAACCAGGGATTTTAATTAAATCTCACTGCACTTTACCAGGTTCAGAAGTAAAATCCTTCCTCCCCCAGTTGCTGCTAGCATCTCTCTGGGATTGCAGTTTAAAGGAATTGCAGACCCAGGAAAATGAAGGAAATAGGCTCAGCTCTCATTTGGACCTGAGACAAGTCACCTGCTGGAAGAGACTTATTCAGGAAAATTTCTACTAACACTGTGGGCCAGAGGTCTCATGTCTTCAGAATAAATATTGGAAGGGAGGCCCAGCATAAGACTGAGGTTACTGGCAGTAACCATATAACCATAATTCAAAGAAAAAAAAATGAACAAAGGAAGGAAAAAAAACACAGTAGCAATAATAATACAAATCTCAGGTTGAAGTACAACCCCAAATTCCAAATCATAGTAAAAAATGATTGGTGTTGGTTGGAGTCCTGTTGTCATTTGAGGCAGACTCTGCTGTCTTCATTTCAGGCCTTCTGTGTTCTACCTCTGCCTTGAGATTACAGTCAGGCCCCAAAAGAATGGAGGATGAGGGCATGTGTTACTTGTGGCAATGTCAGACCCATTGCCATGCTATTGGGGAAGTCTTAGGCTCTTGGTGCACTTAACTGCAAGAGATTCCAGGTGAGAGTAACTAATAAAATGGACCATGTTGGGTAGTTTATTCTTTTTGCTGTATATGAGTCACTCTGTAAGTCTGAAGCTGATTATAAGAGTATGAAGAAAATATGAAATTGTGTAGATCAGCATATTAATTCAGTTTATGGGAGGAGTAAAAATGAAAACTGTATACAAACATTAAAGAAAAATGCGTTTAGACTATATAACCTCAGAACCAATTTGCTTGAATATGTGTAACATGATCACATCCATATATTTAAATAACATTAAAGATATACTCCTCTATATAAATAAGTTCTTCAAAATAATAATTAGGCCAGGAATTATATAGAGAAATTAACAAAATTTCCCCAATTGAGGGATTTTTAATATACTGCATCATAAAATAATAAGTAGAAAAATGTTAGTAAACATTTTTTAAAAAGTAAGAATTACTGAAATGTACAAATCTCAAACAGAATTGACACAGAAGATATTCAAAGTGGGGGGGTGGTGGAAGGAAAAGGACTAGAAACAGATGGGGAGGGAGGGACAAGGAGAGAGAGAGAGAGAGAAAGAGAGAGAGAGAGAGAGACTAAGAAATAGAAAAAATGTAGCACTTTGCAGATAAAGTAGAAATTTTTAAATCATAGGTGAATATAAAACTAAAATTTTGTAAATGTGTTTAAAATTTAGATGAAATGGAAATTTCTAAAATATTTTAAATGACCAAAATTTACCAAAAACAAAGACAATTTGAATGAACCCGTAATTACTACCCTCAAAATGACACTAAGTGGCTTTATAGACAGCTTTTTATATATTGGAAAAATGATTTCAGATATCATAATAAGAAAGAAATTTCCTGAAGTTGTTATATGATAATAACCCAATCATGATCTCAAAGGAAAATTTCACCAGACTCTATCAAACATGCAAGGAAGACTTTACTCAATAGCACTGCAATAGGGAAAAAGATTAGTATGTTAGGAAATATATGCTGAACACACCTCCATTGAAACAAAAGACCAGAGTTTTTCAGCATGTGTGTGTTCCTAGAGAAAAAAAAAAAAAAAAACACAGGATTTTAAGGAGATGGCTGATGAGTGTGATCAGGCTACCCTTGCTTGCTAATTGGCATTTACCCAAGTTAAGCTTCTACCTCCCCCATGAGGTAGGAGGACTATGTATATAAATAATTTTGTGTAACCTGGGAAGGAAGATTATCATACTTAGAATTCAGCATCATGAACTTGATAATATCTTATAAGGTGGAAATGCAATTCAATGTTACTTCAATGTTGTAGAAAGGTTCAATTAAAATGAGATGGGATGCTGAAATGAAATAAAACATTGAGATGGGATGGTGGAATAAGTCAAGATAAAGCTATAAGATCATAATTCTGGTTTATAACAAGCTGAGTTTGAGGCATATTTAGGACATTCAAGTAGGCACGTGGAGTTGGCATCTGGTTTTTTTTTAGTGTGGGGTTCATAATGCAGATTAGGATTGGAGAAATACTTGTGTGACATAATGGCCTATATATGAAATTTGAAGAT